GGAATGCCATAAAAATTATGTATCCCAGTGCATCAATCTGGAGGCACGTGGCACCAGTTTGTCCCATTATGGGTGACGTAGTTTCTGTAAGCATTCTGTGTTGAAGCTGTTCTGGTAGTCATTTGTCTTGTGTTCTGTATGTATATGAGCTATGACTATAGAAATTCTCCCGCTTATATTCTTACTCTCCTGTTCACTTCCGTTCTCTCAGATCAATCAGGTGAGCCTGAGTTGTCTCCTAGTTCTCTCTTCTTTAACAGGATCACTATCTGGGACTCTTGGTTTCTAAGCAGGAAGCATAATACCTCTTCTTTCTCTTAGTAAGTCACATCCCATAATCAAAATTTCTAATTTTTTTGTCCCATACAATCAGCATATGAGTATTTTTAGTGTTTTCTTGGTTTCATGTTCAGATGCTTTGGCCCTAGCAAGGTTAGGCTTCAGAGAAGTTGTTTCAGAGGAGAGTTTTATAGCTGAATATGGCAAGAACTAGGTGCCAGTAGGTCAACTTGAGTCAGACTGAGGTTCTTTTTATACCAAACCCAGTCTTTTCAGGCCAACATTATTGAGGTATAGTTAAAATGTGCTTATGCATGTCATTTGCAATGCTAAACATTCAACATGCATTATTAGCCTATTTGTTCCTTTAAAACAACTCTAGAAGTAGATGCCATTTTCTTTGCTTTTCATATGACAGTATGGAAGCTTAGAAAGGCGAAAGCAAGATGGTTAGAAATTACTGAACTGGGGACCATCAGATGGCATAATGGTTATGTCCTTGGACTCCCATGTCTCAACCAGGGTTCAAGTCCTGGCAATTTAAAACTCAGGCCAGGCGCATGTATGTGCATGCATGCACAAGATCCCAAGGGGAGAAGGGATTGTAGTGTGGAGGGTTGATTTCTAGCTTTCTGTCTCTCTGTGTCTCGAGTGAGCACATGCGCCCTATAGCAAAAAAAAAAAAAAAATTTTTTTTAAAGAGAGAGAAGTTACAGAACTCCGGGGCCAGCAGGAGATATGGTGGTTAAGGCATTGGATCCCACATGACTGACTTCCCGGTTTTGAGTCCTGGGCCTGGTGGCTTGAAAACCGTGCCAAGCACATGTGCATATGTGTCCAACATCCCAAGGGGAGAATGAAGGAAAAAGGCCATCCTTGTTAGGGAGTGATTTCCCAGTTTCCCTTTCTCTCCATCTGTCTCCTGCAATCACACACACACTATAGCAGAAAACCTTTAAAAACAAAAAGAAATTACCAGAACTGAAGCTCATGTCTCTATAATTCCATAACCCTTCTAAGCTGGAAGGAAAGTCACAGTAGGGCTTATTATAGTGTTGACGTTTGAAATGCAAAAGGTGGTGGTGTTGCTAGATTGGAGGTATCACTAATTGCCAGCAACTAATAGCCAAAAAATTTCAGATGTTTTACAGAATGTAAATTTTTCCAGTTTGGGTATCCACACCAATAAGACCTAGCTGCCTGGGATGGTCCTGGTTTACATTTATTTCCTGACATGGTTATTAACAGTGCCCCACTCTCTTTTAAGAGTGTTGTGGGGACCAGCAGGTGGTATGGCGGTTAAGAGCATTGGACTCCCATGTGGCTAACTACGGTATGAGTCCTAGACCAGGGGACTTGCTTTCTCACTCTCCCTTTCTCTCTGGTCAAATTAAAAAACAATAATAAGTAAAATTAAATAAATAATTCTTTTTTAAAGATAGTGTTGTGGTTTGGGTAATTAAAATGATGCTTTCTTCATAATTATTACTGAGTTCTCTTCAGATTAACATATAAACTAGTGTTTTCACTGTAACTTGCACTGATGGAGCTCTGTTATTTAGTATTCATTATTCCTTGCCTTCATCCCAATTTATATATCTTTAGTCTGTTCACTCAACTGAGTTATAGGCATGGTTTGCTTAATTAAGTCAACATTTATTAAGATTGTGTCACACTTGCTCTGTCCTCCTTTCTGCCAAACATTTAAGGCAAGTAACACTTTACACTAGTGTACTTAAGTAGTTGGAATAAGCCCTTAAGTTTTGGAGTTTTTTTTTTTAATTTATTTAATTTTCCTTTTTTTTTTTTTTTTTCCCTAATTTGCTATGGGGTACAAGCGGACATGAGTGAATGAGAGAGAGAGAAAGTGAGAAAGCAAGCCACCAGGCCAGGACTCAAACCACAGTCAGCCATGTGGAATCAAGCACTTTAACCATGGCAACTACTGGCCCCCAAGGCCATAAGGCCATTATAAACCTATCCTGAAATCTAATCAGCATAGCAGAGAAACCTTTGTAGTGTGAATCATCACTTCAGGCAAAATTTTATTTCTCACTTCTCAGAGTTCTTAAAGTGGGTGTACCTGGGACCAGCAGATGGCGTAATGGTTATATCATTGGACTCTCATGTAGTTGACTGCAATTCAAGTTTCAGTGGCTTAAAACTCACACTGGGTGTGTATGCATGCGTGCCCAAAATCCCAAGAGGAGAATGGAGAAGGGATTTCAGCGTAGCCATTCTCCCTATGAGATGATTTCTCACTTTCTATCTCTCTGTCCAGAGAGTGCATGCACCTTATAACAAAAATCTCTCTCAAAAGAAAAAGAAAGTGTCTCTGTATTAGTATGCTAATGTGGTGCTCCATAGGTATGCAAGATACAGCCAGAGTACTCCTGGCCTGTGATTTGCTCATAGCCTTATAACTTAAATTCCTTTCTTTTGGCAGTGCACGATCTGATTTTCTGGCGAGATGTGAAGAAGACTGGGTTTGTCTTTGGCACCACGCTGATCATGCTGCTTTCCCTGGCAGCCTTCAGCGTCATCAGTGTGGTTTCTTACCTCATCCTGGCTCTTCTCTCTGTCACCATCAGCTTCAGGGTCTACAAGTCTGTCATCCAAGCTGTGCAGAAGTCAGAAGAAGGCCATCCATTCAAGTGAGTTAAACTGTCACAAGTAACATTTTAGCTAGGGCATTCGCCGAGGTTGACAGCAGTCTAAAATTTTGACTTACAGGGCTGGCAGGTGGTACGGTGGTTAAAGTGCTGGACTCCCACATGGCAATTGAAATTCCAATCCTGGCAGCTTACTTTCTCACCCATGTTTCTCTCTAGTCAAAACTTTAAAAAATAATGAAGTTAAATAAATCTTAAAATTCTTAAAAATGACTTGACTCAAGCTCAGGCATCCTATGGTCTAATTTAGCAGCTGATTGGTAGCACGAACCCCAACTTAAAGACTTTAAGAATGTCGACGGAAAAAATATAACCAACTGTAAAATTAATAATTAATGCGGTTTATTTCCAAGCCAACTGTGAGTGACCTAGGCTGGAGAAGAGGCATATATGCCTTTTCTCAGGGTGATCATGTACAGAGGTTCCTTTTATTTGCTTTTGAGATTGACACACAACATTTAATTAAAAGATTTTCCATTGGTCTAGCCCAAAAAGGCGGGACATGTAGAAGGGGGGGCTTGGAGGTTATAGGTGGGTTCCACAAATTCTTAGGTCAGGCTATTGGAAGGGAAAATCCCTGTCTTAGTTAAAGAAAGGCTTAATCTACATCTCAAGGAAAAGGGAAGTTCTGTGTCTTGGGAAGGCATAAGCAAAAGAATACACTAATCGGTTGAAATATACATCTCAAAGATACTATGCCAGGGAGGTAGGAAGAATCCTGTTAATAGAAAGTAAATGGTCTGTTAATGTTTGTGGGCATGACTTCCCCAGTCCCCTTTTGAGAAGATTTTGGAAAAAATAGGAAAAGTAGTCAGACTTCTGTCCACAAGAAGTAGACAAGTTAGGAGCCAGGAGTACTCACAGGGGAGAGGAAGCATCGCCTAATGGGGCATGGCACACCACAACCCCTTCTCTATTTCCCCATCCTTGAGATTTTGAGCATGCATACACTGCCTGTATGGCTACCTTGACTGGCCATGTGACCTACCTGGAACCACTAAGCTACAGGGGCTAGCCTCTGCTCTCCTATTTGGTTTTGTTTTGCTTCTTAATTTTTTTTCTTTCTTTTTTTTGGGGGGGGTTGCTATAGGGTACATGCACTCTCCAGAAAGACAGAAACAGACAGTGAGAAATCACCCCCCCAGGGGAGATAGCCACACCGCAATCCCTTCTCCTCCATTCTCCTCTCAGGAGCTTAGGCACACAGGCACGTTCACCCAGCGTGAGTTTAAGCCACCCAGTCCGGGACTCAAACCACAGTTGACTACATGGGAGTTCAGCAACTTAGCCATTATGCCAACTGCTCTTGCCAGTTTTTAAAATTTTTTTGTTATAAGGTATGTGGGCTTGCAGGAGACCCACCCCCCCACACACCCCCACATCCCAGAGAATGAGGATGACCATGCTAAAATATTCCTTCTCCTTTGTGGCATTTTTTTCTTTTGAGAGGTTTTTGCCTTAGGGCATGTGTGCTCAGCCAGAGAGAGAGACAAGACACAAAGAGAGGAAAAAAGAAATCACTGCCCCAGGGAAGATGGCCATGCCGCAATCCCTTCTTCAGTCTCTTCCCAGCATCTTGGGGACACACACATTCCCAGTGTGATTTTCAGACCACCAGGTCCGGGACTCGAACTGTGATTGGCCATGTGCAAGTCCAGGGACGTAACCAGTCCGCCATCTGCTGGATCCCCTTTCTGGAATTTTTTAAGCCACTGAGTCTGAGACTCAAACCACACAGTTGACTGCGTGGGATCCAGCCACCTTAGCCACCATACCACCACCAACCGCTTTTTGTTTCATTAACAAATATTTCATAGATGTCTCCTTTATGATTCTGAAATGAAATTTATAGGTAAAATTATATACAAACATGATTTTTTAAAAAATCATAAAGGTGTGATGGAACAGAACAGCACTTGTAATAAAATGCAGTGTGTGTTTTAGTCAATATTATGTTCTGGATTCTCAGTTATAAATAGGTTTATCTTCATGAATATCCAGTCAGGCAGAACACAGGACAGTTTATCATGTGTGATTGTCCCACATCACCATCTTTCATCTGCCCATTAAATGATGGTGGTGTCCCCACCCCATGACAGCCAAAAAAAAAAAAAAAAAAATGTTCCTGCAGATTGCTAAAATGCACCCCGGGGCCAATTTCACATACTCAAGAACTGCTATGCTTGTAGAAAATCTTCTTCCATGTCCATTGTCTGACTATTGTTTATTTTTCTGGAAGAGCCTACCTGGATGTAGATATTACTCTGTCCTCAGAAGCTTTCCACAATTATGTGAATGCTGCCATGGTACACATCAACAGGGCCCTGAAACTCATTATTCGTCTCTTTCTGGTGGAGGATCTGGTTGACTCCTTGAAGGTTAGTGGCTTCTACAGCTTTTGGTGGTGAAACTGAGAACTAGGAACTAGGTTAAAATTCAGGGGAAAAGCAGTACATAAGATTTTATCAGACAAAAGCGATCACTTAGCCTGTGAAAGCAGAATAGGGGTCAGTATAGAAACAGCACTTCATACTAGAGAACAGACATCAGAATGGTGGTATCGACAGATGTGTGGTTACAGTATATCTTTGGACCTAAAAGAACTACAGAATTCTCTCACGCGCCTTCAGATATATAGTGAAATGGGGAAAACAATCATTCTGAAATTATATATCACTACATTTATGTAGACGAAATTAGCTAGAGGAGCATGGCATCCATTAACCTAAATTGTGCATTCTGCTGTTCCTTGTTAACCTCTGATGTTGACCTTTACAGCTGGCTGTCTTCATGTGGCTGATGACCTATGTTGGTGCCGTTTTTAATGGAATCACCCTTCTGATTCTTGGTAAGATGGCAAGGAAAATTTCTCCGTGCTCCTTGGAGTCGTTTTGAAAGAATAAAAGTGAAGACAGTAGATAGCATGGCCCCACACATTCCACATGGCCCCACCTCGAATATTTATAAAGACTTTGAAGTAGCTATTGGAACCTGTGCTTATAATCATAGGTGTATTAAATGCTTCCAGTTATGAAGAAGTATCAAAACAGCTAGCAGTAAAGGAGAATTGTCTACATTTTAAGTATGGAGAACTTATTTATAAAAACCATTTTTGTAATTTTGATCTAACTTTTAGTACAAAGAAGATAACTTGTGTATCTGGAGAGTTGTTTCTTTTTTTTTAACACTGCCCCAAGTTAGCTTTCTTTATTGAACTATCCTTAATTAAGAGCTCGAGCAGATTTCCCATTTTGAGGGAGATCTGTGATTCCCTATATTTTATAAGGAAAATGTTTGTGTTATTTTCCGTCTTAAGGCTTTGTAACTATCTCACATTTATACTCACCATGTCCCATGATTCTGTCTTACAGCTGAACTCCTCATTTTCAGTGTCCCAATTGTCTATGAGAAATACAAGGTAAGCATTTGTCTGTTCCGGATCAGAAATTCTAGTTGATACATGACAAGTTTTAGTTCATTTCCGAGGCATTAAAAGACTGAAAAGTTTTTTTAAAACTTCATAAAATAATTATTTTATTTAACTTTATTTATTTTTTTAATTTGACAAGAGAGAGACAGAGTGAGAGAGAGAAAGAAGGAAAGTGAGAAAGTAAGCTGCCAGGTCCAGGACTCTATAAACTGTGGTCGGCCATATGGAAGTCCAGCACCCTTAACTATCATGCCACCTGCCAGCCCCAGTTCAAAGAGTCTTTATAACCATTTTTACAACCTAATTTCTTAAGTCAAGTACCTATAAGAAACCACTAACAGTGGTTTTCTCCAAGGGAAGAAACTAGATATCTAGGAGATAAGGGTAGGAGACCTCATTCTTTTTAAGTAAGGACTTTTTTTTTAATTGCTAGAGGGTACATATATGCTTGTCAGAGACAGAGAGGAAGAAAGCATCCCCCAGTGGGACATAATCATACCACAGTCCTTTCTTCGTGTGTCTACTCTGTTGGGATTTTGGGACACACAAGCTTGGCACATTTTTCAAGCTGCTGGGGCTAGAATTTGAACCATAGTTGGCCGTGTAATGTAAGATCCTTCTCCCTTACTGCTGGGCTATAGGACTGGCCCAGAGACTTGCTTTTCATACTTTGTTGTGTACCTTTTGATTTTTTATCACATCAGTACATTCTCTATTAAAAAAAAAAAAAAAGTGAATATGCTTAATTCTCTCACGCGCCTTCAGATATATAGTGAAATGGGGAAAACAATCATTCTGAAATTATATATCACTACATTTATGTAGACGAAATTAGCTAGAGGAGCATGGCATCCATTAACCTAAATTGTGCATTCTGCTGTTCCTTGTTAACCTCTGATGTTGACCTTTACAGCTGGCTGTCTTCATGTGGCTGATGACCTATGTTGGTGCCGTTTTTAATGGAATCACCCTTCTGATTCTTGGTAAGATGGCAAGGAAAATTTCTCCGTGCTCCTTGGAGTCGTTTTGAAAGAATAAAAGTGAAGACAGTAGATAGCATGGCCCCACACATTCCACATGGCCCCACCTCGAATATTTATAAAGACTTTGAAGTAGCTATTGGAACCTGTGCTTATAATCATAGGTGTATTAAATGCTTCCAGTTATGAAGAAGTATCAAAACAGCTAGCAGTAAAGGAGAATTGTCTACATTTTAAGTATGGAGAACTTATTTATAAAAACCATTTTTGTAATTTTGATCTAACTTTTAGTACAAAGAAGATAACTTGTGTATCTGGAGAGTTGTTTCTTTTTTTTTAACACTGCCCCAAGTTAGCTTTCTTTATTGAACTATCCTTAATTAAGAGCTCGAGCAGATTTCCCATTTTGAGGGAGATCTGTGATTCCCTATATTTTATAAGGAAAATGTTTGTGTTATTTTCCGTCTTAAGGCTTTGTAACTATCTCACATTTATACTCACCATGTCCCATGATTCTGTCTTACAGCTGAACTCCTCATTTTCAGTGTCCCAATTGTCTATGAGAAATACAAGGTAAGCATTTGTCTGTTCCGGATCAGAAATTCTAGTTGATACATGACAAGTTTTAGTTCATTTCCGAGGCATTAAAAGACTGAAAAGTTTTTTTAAAACTTCATAAAATAATTATTTTATTTAACTTTATTTATTTTTTTAATTTGACAAGAGAGAGACAGAGTGAGAGAGAGAAAGAAGGAAAGTGAGAAAGTAAGCTGCCAGGTCCAGGACTCTATAAACTGTGGTCGGCCATATGGAAGTCCAGCACCCTTAACTATCATGCCACCTGCCAGCCCCAGTTCAAAGAGTCTTTATAACCATTTTTACAACCTAATTTCTTAAGTCAAGTACCTATAAGAAACCACTAACAGTGGTTTTCTCCAAGGGAAGAAACTAGATATCTAGGAGATAAGGGTAGGAGACCTCATTCTTTTTAAGTAAGGACTTTTTTTTTAATTGCTAGAGGGTACATATATGCTTGTCAGAGACAGAGAGGAAGAAAGCATCCCCCAGTGGGACATAATCATACCACAGTCCTTTCTTCGTGTGTCTACTCTGTTGGGATTTTGGGACACACAAGCTTGGCACATTTTTCAAGCTGCTGGGGCTAGAATTTGAACCATAGTTGGCCGTGTAATGTAAGATCCTTCTCCCTTACTGCTGGGCTATAGGACTGGCCCAGAGACTTGCTTTTCATACTTTGTTGTGTACCTTTTGAGTTTTTATCACATCAGTACATTCTCTATTCATAAAAAAAAAAAAGTGAATATGCTTGTATAAAAAAAATGAACTGGGGCCAGCAGGTGGTGTGGTGGTTAAGGACGTCGGACTCCCACATGGCTGACTGCAATTTGAGTCCAAGACTTGGTGCCTTGCTTTCTCACTTTCCCTCACACTCACTCTGTCCCACTCTGGTCAAATTTAAAATAAATAAGTAAAGATAAACAATACATTAAAAAAAAAAATAGAAAAACTAACTGTGTAGGCTATAAGGGAATCCATCAGTGTGAACAGATGTTTGCATTGTGGAATGATGTGTCCAGAGTACTCTAGAGGCTGTGAAGGTTTTTTTTATAGATTAAGTCATCCATCAATAAGCTTAGGCTTTTTGTTATTAAATGAATGTCTTACCCAAGAGCCATAACATATTCAGGATTACAGACTATAGAACATAATTTCTAGAAATTAGGTAAGGCTATACTCCAGTCTCTCTAAAGGAAATCAAGTTACTTCTGCAAGTAATAAATTATTTCTACTTTAACAAAGGGTGGGACATTGTTGGCATAGTTTGAAGTCTAAAGCCTTAAGTTTAAAATACTTTGAAAAAAAATTGGGCATTGTTTTCATTTTTCAAAAAAATTTTTTTTCTTTTTTTTGGGGGGAGGTTTTTGCTATAGGGTGCATGCACTCACCAGAAGGACAGAGACAGAAAGTGAGAAATCACACACACACACCCCCCGGGGAGATGGCCACACCGCAATCCCTCCTCCTCCATTCTCTTGGGACCTTGGGCACGCATGCACACGCGCCCGGTATGAGTTTAAGCCACTGGGTCCAGGACTCGAACCTGGGTCGACTACATGGGAGTCCAGTGACATAGCCATTATGCTAACTGCTGATCCCCATTTTTCAAAATACTCAATAGTAATTTTTTTAAAAACTATTTAGACAGAAGAACAATGCCTTTAGGAAAATTGTTAATCTGTGTGTTGCCATAACTGAGTTTACCTTTCCTTCCTTAAAGACCCAGATTGACCACTACGTTGGCATTGCCCGGGACCAGACCAAGTCAATTGTTGAAAAGTAAGTATGTTCAGGGACCATAGTTCATCATTACATGTACCTTTTTTCCCCCATTATTTTCTGTTTCCTGCATAAAACGCTGATGCCAAACGAGGTCATTTTTCCTCTGAAAAACCCTTAGTTAATAGTTTGATATTACGGGACCAGCAGTTGGCGTAATGGCTGTGTCACTGGACTCCCATGTAGCAGACCACGGTTCAAGTCCTGGACCCGGCGGCTTGAACTCACACCAGGCGTGTGTACGCGAGTGCCCAAGATCCCAAGAGGAGAAGGGATTGCAGCATGGCCATCCCCCGGGGGGTGATTGCTCGCTTTCTGTCTCTCTTTCTGGCAAGCACACGTTCCCTATATCGAAAACCTCTCCCCCCAAGAAAAACAATAGTTTGATTTTACTAGAAGTTGTTCCAATTGCTTCTTTTCTTTTTTAAGAATTATTTTATTTAACTGTATTTATTTATTTAATTTGACCAGAGAGGGACAGAGTGAGAGAATGAGAGAAAGAGAGAAAATGAGAAAGCAAGTCTCAGGTCTGAGACTTAAACCGCTGTCAGCATGTGAGAGTCTAGTGCCCTTAACCACCATGCTACCTGCAGGCCCCTAGACCTGATGGTCTTAATTGCCAATGCTACCTAACTTGGGTCATTTGTTGTGGAATGTGACTCATGTGTAGAGTGGCCTTGATATTCACAGAGGGGTGTGAATGACCTTAGTAATGGGTAACTTCAATGATTTCAGAACACAGTTGTCAGACTAAAGGGTAGCTTTGGTATTCCCTGAGGGCCCAAGAACCGTTGCCAGCTTCTCTTACCCCGAGAACCAGGAACTAATGACCCATGTCCTTTTACATACCTCTTGACTTTTGGTTCCTTTTGTGGCACTGGCATTCCTTCATCTGGACTTCACAGAGCCAGAGAAATGGACTCTCACACTGCCTGTACGTAGAGCACACTTGGCCAGCATTATGCCCGGATATCCCTTATCCTTCCTGCGACCCCAGTGAAAGACACAGAAGGTTCTGGGTGAGACAGAGGCAGGTAGCCATAGCAGCAGGAAGGGGCAGTAGATTTTTGTAGATTCCTCAGGCTCACCCCAGGCCAGACTTACCCCTGCCTCTTTTTATCTCCCACAAAAGTGGGAGAGTATTTTTCGCATTGCTGCAGCAAGTCCAGGATGTCATATAGCATCACCGCTAAAAAAAATTTTAAAAACCTAGAACAAATGCTTATGTTTTCACCTTGTTTTTTTCTTTCCTCAATAGGATCCAAGCTAAACTCCCTGGAATTGCCAAAAAAAAGGCAGAATAAGCCTCTGGAAACCAGAAATGCAACAGTTACTAAAACTCCATTAATTAGTTATAACGTTGTTGTGCTATGAAGGAACATGCTCATGTCAGCTTGAGCCTGCATTCCAAGCTTTTTCTTTAAGTTGGTGTTTTCTCCCCTCCTTTCCCTTTACCCTCAGTATCAAGCACAAGAATTGTTGGACTAAAAAAGAACTGATATCTTAGAATCCATAAGAATAAAGAAAAAAATTAAATTAATAGGATAAATCAGTACCATAATGGTCATAGAGCTTTTACATACAGCTTGAAAGGGGAAAGATTTGGAGGTAGAGGAGAAAATGAAAGAACACATCTCTTTGGTCCTTCTGTCCAATTCTCAAGGACTAACCTTACACAGTTTCCCAGTAGAGACTTGCCCTTATTTTTAAGTTAAGAAATAATGATTAACTTATGAAGAAATGATTTGGGGACAGGAATGGGATTCCTTCCCTAGGGTTTTGTGCAGCACTCCAATTCCCATCTCTGTCCCACAATGTGAGCAGCTACTCCTGATATTCCTCCTCTTCGCTTAATGATACAGCTTTCAGCTCTATGAGTAACTTATAGGTGATAGCGATAATTCTTGATTCCCAGAATGCCATCTGATAAATGAGAATGTAAACAAAAAAATGGACTGGAGAGGGAGTCACCTCTCACTCCCTCTGCCTCTCATTTCTAGGAGGGAAAGGCTGTGCTATTTGAGAGGGAGGTGTCTGTCGCTTCTCTTGGATACCCGTTCTGAGTGTTCGTTTGAGAGCTCATTCCTGAACGTGCTTTCCTCCCTCCCTGCCCACCTCACTTCATTTAATAAATATGGTTGTACTTTTCTTATTATGAAATAAATGTCTGTATCTGCTGTACACTGCTGTAAACTTGTTAAGAGAAAAAATAATCTGCATGTGGGCTCTTCAGTTATTGTGATCCTATTTCAGTTCGTGGGGGGGGGAATGTTCTCAAGAGGTGAACTACAGAAACACAAGAAGCCTTTTTTCCTTTTACCTTGTCACTACAGCTTCCTCCTTCACATGCCGTGTCTTTAACCTGTGCTCATCATTATAGCCTAAGGACCAAAGCCACGCTGGCTTGAGAGGACATTATGTTTGTATGTGATCACCAGGCCAGAGATTAGGTAGGGAAGTTCATTTTGTGGTTCATATAGAATTTTCATTGCTTTGAGGACAGCTATGGGTGTTACTGTTTCAAGGGTTCTTTCCATTTCCAGGCACGTGTCATAGCACCTCTGCCATGGCCCAGGTTGCTCCTTTGGAACGTGTTTTCCAAGAAGTGTTAGGTGAGGGTGCCCAGGCACAACCAGATTATCTTTGTAGGCTATGTGTGCAGTTAAAAAAACTTAAGAACCACTCACGTTGACACCAGATGGAGGGGCCTGGGAATCTTTGGATCCCATTTAAGACTCAGTTTCTTCTTCCCTTTCAACATGAAAATTCAGTAAACTTGATAGAAAAGTTATTTATAAATTTCTTGAAGTCACCCAGAGGGTTGACTGGTAACTTTAAAGTAAGGGCTACAGTGTTGGATGGTCCCAGAGTACTGCAACTCTGTGAAAAGTAGTGGAAGGAAATTCTCTTTCTACTTTTGGGGGGGACTTATGTAGAAATTTAAGAAGGATAAAAGCTAACCTTGCCTTACTCCATTTTTCTTATTTTCTTAGCCCCTTTCTTTTTGGATTTTTTTAAGGGATTCATGTCATAGTAGGAAACACATCCTGTCATCATCCTTTGTTCCCAGGAAGTCAATGCACTGATGTCTTTTTGGGCTTCCCCTCCAAAGGACCTCTTTCAGCACTGGAAGCCTCCACATCTAGCTTTTTTCTTTTGCTGCTGCTGTGTTTAGATAATTGGAGAGATCTTTATTCCACGCAGGATTTTTTTTATTTTAAGAAAAACTTATAGATGAAAAAATTACTAATGAAACTGTGTGCGTATCTGTGCGTGCAACATAAACATACAGTAGCACTTAAGGAGCTTGAATCTTGGTTCCTGTAAAACTGCAAATTGATGTGGTATTAATAAAATTTAAAAAAAAAAAAAAAACAAGAATACAACAACTGTGGTGTCATTCTGCTAACTTTATTCTTTATACATAGTTTGGGTAAAGTAAGTACCAAACAAGGCTTCCATTCCCTCCATCCTTGCTCCACTTTGGGGGCTTTAAAAAGCTACTAATAGTTGACACTGGTAAGGATTCCCAAGATTGCAGAATTAGAGTACAGCTGTGCATTTGGCTTCTGAAGGAAAAAAGAGACCTCTAAGAGGGAACCTTAGAAGTAAGATGATGAGGAGTGGAACGGGTTAGAAACTGCCTTCCCAGTTCAGTCTCACACCAACTGAGAGGGTTTCCCACTTGGAATATGAAGCAACCTGTAAGTCACAAGTAGCCACATTATACTTAAATTGAGAGTCACCATGGAAATGAGAACTAAATACATCAGATCTTTGCTGAAAGAACTTGTCACCTCTGGTTTGTTTTTCACCAAAACTAAGGCTGCTGTGACCTTTTTAAGCTGGATTTTAAAAAATTTATTCAACATTACCATTTAGAAAACTTAGGCTGAAATATTTCTTAAATGACTGATGCAAACAACTTCACAAATACACATACAAATGTTCGAATAATGTCACTAAGCAACATGGTATATAAATATGTATTCAGAGTAACATTTACATACTAGCCATAATAAGCATACCATTAACCAAAAGAAAAAAAATTTCATGAAGAAACTTCACCTGTTCATGTCAGAATCAAAGGCGAGGAGGCACACCTAGGGATGAGGACCAGCCAACCCCCAATCCCTAACCTGAGGCCATAGGTTCAAAGTAGGGATCACTACAGCAGCATGTCCCAGGTCACTGGTGCTCAGAATTTCAGCTGCATCAAGATTCCTGGAGGACTTACCCGAACTGATTGCATGTCCCACCTCAGCTGCTGATTCAGTCAGCATGGGGCGTGGCCCAAGGATCTGTATTTCTAGTAAGTGCCCAAGGTGATGCTGCTGGTCTTGACAACCACAGCAGTGCTTGGAGTTGTCGGTGAAGACATCCACTTCTGTCCCCCTAAGGCCTCTCCCACCTATTCAGGGGGGCATTCCTAATCTACTGTGCCCTGGCTTACCTGAACTTCAGTGGTGGACTTGGGTGTTTATAATCAGTTGCCCCAATTTTCTTACTGTTTTTGAGCTGGTGGAGTAAAAAAGTGGCAAAATACTCATTCTGGATCTGAAAATAACATGCATGAAGGAAAGTAAAAGAATGGCAGTGCCCAGCTTCGTGCCGTGTTTTCAAGCTTTTAATACTGTCCAAAACCCCAGAGATCTAAACTGCTGGGAATTGACTTTTCAGTCAAGTGACAGCCCATTCAGTATCTTCCTGCATCCTTGGTGGCCTTAACAAAAGCCTCAATGCTGAGTCACCAGCAGTCAGCTCACTTCCAGAGTTCTGATGGAGAAGGCTGCGGCCTACACCTGCCAACCGAGGCCTTACAGTGACTAGAGCAGGCAGTGTGCAGCTCTTTGCCACCGCCAAGAATCATAGCCACACCGATGGCCTACAGTGCCCATACCATCCTTTGGCAGACCTAACGGAAAGAAGTTTCAATACCTTACCAGAGACTGGGAGGCAGTGTCATATAGTGCAAAGAACACTGAACTGGGGGTTGAATTTTTAATTCTAAATAGTTCTTGAATGGTTCCTACCTGGCTGTGTGAAGATTTGTTTCTGGGCTTCACTTTACCTATCTGTGAAGGGGGACAGGGATGGTACTTGTGATCTCCAGGGTCTCTTCCAATTTTGACAATCTTGAATTATATAAAAATGCTATAAAATTCGTGGTATAAAATCTAACTCCCCATCAGGAAGTGAAAGGGACTGGGCCTGAGGCACTTGAACCTTGGGCTCTGGCCTGGGTGGGAAGGGATGAGAGGAGAGGCATCTTTGCCGTTTTCCCACCCACAGAGAAGACAGCCGCAGGCCCCAGCTGCCAGGGCTCCTCCCTGACCATCTGACCCGCCTTCAAGCCCCACTCACTGACCTCCCCACCCTGACTTGAAAACAGGGAACTGTCCCTGCAGTGGCCTGTGAAGAGCAGACAAGGCCAAGATGCAAGGCGGGTGAGGAGTCATACTGGTATGGGATGTTTCAGATCCTCCCATCCCTCTTCCTTCGCTCCTCCTTCCTTTAGGTCCTTCCACCTCCTCACAGCTTATCTCTGATACACGCATAATAAATAAGACATTTGCACATAAGGGTGTTGGGTCAGCTCTCTCCCCGCCCCTCTCCCTTTCATATAAAAGCATTAAATACAGTTTCAAAATAAAATACAAAGAGCAAAAAAAGGGCCAGATCTCGGGACCACCTGTTCTCCACAGGAGAATGAAATGTACACATCCCTCTCGGACCTGCCTGGGAGATCGCGGGGCCCTTTCCCCGCCCCACAGGGCCTGGCGACGCCTCGGGGAAGAGAAAGGGAGGCCGAGGCGCGGCCCCGGGCCCTGGGGACTGAGAACGGGTGGCGTGTCCACCGTGAATCAAAGGGGATAGGGAGCTGGTGGTGCTGAAGCACCAACTGCCGGGACCACCAGTGCCCCGGTTCGGACGGACATGGCGCTGGAGCGAGAGCTCCCGACTCCGAGGTTAGGGACAAACGGAGACCCCTCGCGGCAGGAGAGGAGCAAAGGAAAAAAGTGCAGATCCCTTTACACGATCTCTTTGTCGCGGCGGGTGCGGTCCAGGAGCCCGCCCGGGAAGCCCCCGCAGCTGGCGGGGCCTC